ATTAAATTCTAAAAGGACATTCCGAATATAAGCTTTGAGCACAACCCTGCAGTCATTGCTGATAAAACTCTAGCTGACTTGAAAGACTCAAATTTGCAATATAACAGACATAAAAAATAAAAATAGGTCACTAGGATATAATTGTAAACACTCTGCACATATTTGTTCACGTTATCTTTGCTTGTATCTAGTAAAGCATTATTTCTTGAATAGGTATGAGTAGTGCCTGATGTCCAAATAACATCTGATTCATTTTAATTGTATCGTTGATATTTAGTAATGCAATTTTTTTTCATGAAATTGTTTACATATAGGTATAGTAAATAATGTGACTTACAAGAAAAATGTGAAAGGGATCAATTACTCAGGCACTATGCCTACGGAACATCTCAATCTATTTTTAAATATTTCAGAAATGGGCAGGAAAGTAAAAAATCAGTGTTACATTTCCGAGCTAAGCATTATCAGTAGTACTTGGGAATCCTTTTCCCTATCCTGACTGTTATTCATTAGTAGCTGTGATGTTAATACACGGTGTTCTGCTACCAGTTTAAATGTTCAAAGTATAACAATAACATACATTTGTTTAATAAATTGTCCTTCTTTTTATTTTCTCTTTTCTAACAAAGAAGCATAAAGACAGCAAATACTCTCTCTTGTTTAGTGCAAGAGAGAAAGTAAACACTAATTATAGCAAATAACTATTAGTGTCAAAGGATTCCCAGACATTACCAATATACACTTAAGCATTTCAGAGCAGACAGTGACCTTACCTTCATAGCCAAGGAGAAAGCATGTCAGCAAGTTGGGACAGACCTCCTCCAAAATGGAACAAAAAGCAGAGAAAGCACTTGGGCCTTTTAAAGAGAGTTTATCTAAAAAATATTCAGTTCTCTTCTTGTAGCTCTCCTGGGACCAAATGTCTTTGTATTCCTCCAAGGAAAAGACTCTCTTGTAAACCAAATATGACAGCACTTTGTTCACATCCAGCTCTTCCAGTATTTTCTCCCTCTGATTGCTTGGGATTTCAGAAAGCCACTTATTCCTGTTTTCATTTTCTCTTTTGGTAGATTTTGCACAGTTATAAAACCAAGATTTGGCTGTTCTTCCAAACATTTTGATATTTAAAAAGAAAATAGAAATTTCTACTCCTGCATTTATTGTGCAGTATTCAGTATGCAAAGTAAACATAATGTGGATGGAGAGAATGCAAATACATACTGCTGTCTGTAATTATTGTAATTCTAATGGAATAAAGAAGGCCTACATACAAATTATAAAGAAATCTAGCTCAATGCCTGCAGCCTCCTAAGAGGATTACGTTACACTAATTAGCCCTTTACAACTGTTAACAGCTTCTGAACCGTAATGATGAGACTGAGAATTGCTTAGTTACTGTTACTTTTTAATTCTGTAACTGATCTTCAAAGATATCCCTTTGCAAAAAATAATTCATTCAAGAAGACAGCTGATCAAACTGAAATAATCTGTACAAGCTGGTACAGGATATAAAATAAAGTGTCTTCTGTACACTTTAATTTTGTATTCCTCAGAGGCCATACCCGATCCACAGTGTAAATGCCCTCCACTTCTTATTCTTCATAAAATATTGGCTTTACAATGCAATGGAATTATACATTTAGAAAGCATGTTTCTGTAAATATTTTGTAATCCTGCATGCAAAAGCTAAAAAAAAAGTTACAGAATAAGACCTTTTTTTTTGTGAAGGCAAATATGTCACTGTTAAGAATAACATTTCTGCATGTTTAGATCTTTTAGTTGTGTCCAAGCAAAATAGAACCCCGCATAGCATCCATTTGATGAACCAGGTTTAACGGTGGAGATTACTGCAATCCCCGTGGAGGTGTTCTGCCACTGATAATCATTCATTGAGGATCACACATTACATAACCTCCCTTACGCAAATGCTGCTTAATACATGGACTTTCGGGTCTTGTTTTCGTACTTTCTGTCAACATAAATTCCCTGTATAGAAAAGCTACGAATATTTCCTGCCTCCTCCTCCTCCTGTTTCTTAACCTATTTTTTCCATCTCCTTTACTTCCAACTGATAGTGCATCCATGGCCTCATTCGTGTGGCCTTACCTGCAGTTTTCTCAACGGTACTTTACCTGTTGTGCAGCATACAAAAATATTTTGCCAAGCTTTTAGGAAAACAAGTTTTATAATATTTTCAGTCCTTACGATCTTAAGATGCAACCGCATGTATCCTCCTGTCAGGCTTCTTCTGTTGTGAAATTTCAAGTGTTCATCAGACAGCATTCAAGATGACCACTCTCCATATAATAATTTAGGAATTTTATTGTGTATATCACTAGCCAAACAATTAACTAGCCTGGCTCCACAGAATTGTTCGGAAGCATTGCCTGTCACCTTGTGGTTGGTTGTAGATACAACATGCCCCGTATATGACACTTTATCTGGAGTAAGGACGAGTAGAATTATCCGTTATTTTAAGCCATATTAATGTTCCCAGATTAGAATGTTATGGCTTATTGACCGTAGCAGTGAGATTCTCATGCTGCTTCTGTAATCGTCTTGGATCTACTCAGGTACCTATGCATTGCATCACACACCACATGAAAGGTGACCCACTTGGGGGAGGATAGATGGTGAGAGGCATCTGCTGCTATCCAACTAGTCAGGTAGCGCAGCTAAACAAGAGTAATAATGCAGTAGGCAGAGAAAGTAGCCAACCTGTCTGAAAGGCCTGGCAAATCTTCTAGGCAGCCTTTAAAAGTAAGGGCTCCCTTACAAGCCTAAGTCTTAACATTCCCTTTGGGTTTTGAACCTCCGTAGGGGTAGTACAAATACTACCCCCCATTCTTTCCATATTCTCAATGAAACCTCATGCTTTTTTTTTTTGCTCCAAGTTGTTTCTCTCTCAGAAGTTCTGCTAATACTAATACTGCAATATCTCAGCAGGTAAAAGATCCTGATAAAGCCTGGCGCTCCACATGTTAGACAGAATCTTATGAGTCAGCTTTCTCAGCCACTCTACCTTCTGATGGTAAGTTTTTCCATTACTTCAATAAATGCTAGAGCAAGCCCAAAGCTACAGGGTTTGGGTTCATAAGACAGTGCCCAAAGATGAGACAGAGAGGATGTAACCCACCTGGACACCATCCTGTCCAACCTGCTGTAGGTGACCCTGCTCAGGCAGGGGGTGGGACTAGATGATCTCCAGAGGTCCCTTCCAACCCTGACCAGTCTGTGATTCTGTAACCTAAATACATTTCTCAGAGTTTAACCTCAAAACTAAACTGGTGTTTATTTTATTGTCGTCAATATCCTAAATGGAGTAATGAATTCCGCACAGTAGTGAATGTAGAAGTTAAAAAAACAAGTAACCTGTCAGATTAATAATGAAATGAAATTTTAAAGGAAGCTATAGAGTATGTCCTATTTTTACATGTCCATGGCAGTTCTGCCCATGACAGTCCATCCTCAAAGAGTGACCTTGCTATAATACATGACAGACACAGGTGTTGGCAAGTTGCATCTCTTCAGAAAAGTAAGGAAGAATTGGTGCAAATTACAAATGTACTCGGGTATCACTTTGCTGAGGGATATTGTCAATATACCCTAAATAACAAAACTGGTTTTAAAAAAAAAGAATTAAAAGTTTAGCTGGGGCAAAATGGCTAGAAGAATTAACTACAAAGCTGTTTGTTAGAAAATTCTGGGCACTCATGGGGGAGAAAACAGTGCTCTGCAGTGAAAATGCCAAGAAAGATTGGTATGATATGAACTGGTTAATACAGCCAGTGAATTGTACACACAGCGGTCATCAGGGTGGTGGCAGACATAAATGACAGCTTGAAATTTGTGTGTATACAGTATAGGACTGTCTTTGGGCTCCACGCACGGAATAATTTACAGGGTTTTTTTCTAAAAGAGTACAATGTTTTGAGCCAGAAATGTTCCTATTATTTTTGTTGGTAAAAGACCATATCCTTTTAATCTCAAATGTGTTTTTATAAAATCTTAAAACCACGAAGAAGAATGGGTGATATCATAGGAAATGTGTCAAACTGTGGACAAATACAAAACTTGACTCTCTGCCTTCTCACATACCATGTAGTTATTTCCAGTTGTGTAAACTGGAGAATAAAATGCTAAAATTGTGATTTGGTAACTGCCGTACTTCTAATAAAAATCTACACCTTGCAAAATCTGAGTATTGGGTAAAGGCAAAAATTTGAAAGTGTGTGTTGAGAAGCTGAATACAGAGAAGTGGGTGTGAAGTACAATCAAGGGAGGAAACTGGAGAAATTGAAGATGACAAAGAGATATTTGAGACAAAAGGATACATGGAAATACACGGTGGAACCCAAGGATTTGTGTCGGAGAGCTGTTTTTTTCCCAGGGGCAAGGATCTGAGGGATTTAACTGCAATGACCTGTAAAAGATACAATGCAGACTGACACTGCAATAGATGTTCAGTCTTTCCAAGCTCCGAGTTCTAACTGCCCAGCAGCTCTAACCTCTTCCAATGATTTACCTTGCTGCCAAGTTCTGCAATTTGTGCAAAGATGCTGTGTAGTTCAGACAGCCTGATTTCAGAAGAATTGGTGTCAAACAGGAAGCATCCACTAGAAATGAGCTCTGGCAGTGTTTATTTGACCTTGTAGTCAAATAAGGATGTGGTATGACCCACACTTTTTGACAGTGACATTGTCTCAGAATAGTGAAGGGGGACGCAGCACGGCCTGTCAGAGCCCTGGAAGCACTAACTGGCCTTACTGGCCGTGACTGACCTCACTGGGGCCTCCACCCACATCCCTTTCCATGGGCCCAGGGGTTCCATTTAAGCTCAGCCCTGGACCACCAGTCCCTGCCTGAGCTTTATCAGAGATGTGCTTGTCCCTGGCTCCTGCTGCTCTGGACCGTGACCTGTGGGCTGGCTTCCTGCTTTGACTTTGCCACATCGCCATGGACCTGCCTGGTAACCACTGCGTCTGGCCCCAGTTCCCATCATGGGACCTGACCTGTGGGTTGCTTTCCTGGCTCGACCTCAGACCTCCTTCATCACCATGAACTCTTCTGGCAGTCTGGACTCCTGCTTGGTCCTGACAGCCATCCCCTGGCCTGCCTGCCTGCCTTGTCTGAGGGACTTGGTGGGACTCTGAGCAACCTGATCTAGTCGAAGACGGCCGTGCTCATTGCAGGGGGGTTGGACATGATGGCCTTTAAAGGTCCCTTCCAACCTAAACTATTCTACGATGGTACTGTGAGGCCGGGCCCTGGCTGGCCAGCCCCTGTCCGTGGCATTGGGCTGCCTGTCCTGCAGGATGCAGCCGGCCCCTGCGGCTCCCCGACGGGCACAACCGTTTGGCTCAACACCAGGATGTTAAAACTACTTATTTTAAAGTGTGTGCAATGGAGCTTAGAGAAGGGCAAGAAAAATGCCCTCTCTGGAACAGTGTTAATGTAGTCCTATTGTTCCACAGGAAGCTATGAAAAAAGGTGACCCCGACTCTGTGAGGGGTGGAGGTGTGAGCGACCAGCTGGTACCAGGAGGTGCAGACGTGGCAGGGAAGGATGCCTGGGCTGGGGTGAGAGCTGCTATAGGGGTGGCAGAGCACACGCTGTATGAACTATTGCTCATGTGATGGTATTTTGGGGTTCGGTTCCTCCGCCCAGCTTGCTTTTGCCACTTTTTATTCATCTTTCCCCTGCCGCTCCCTTGCCCGCAGACCTGAGC